CAGCCTTATTTATATAAATGCATAATTATATTAATCATTCATATAATAAATACACAATTAATGAATTCATATAACTGTAATAAAATTGTAATAAATCTTTTTTAAATCCTTGATTATGCGGCGATGGAATATGCAGGATATTTATGCAATTTTATGTGATGAAATTGCGGGAACTTGCAAAAACTGCGGTTTGATGAAAAAGAGAGAAAAAGTGATTCCCTAACACCCTGTTCTCACTAGGCTACTATCTTAATGTAAAGAGCTATTTCTTATTACTTCCTATGATAAGCAAGCATAACTACATCACAGAAAGTGCTGGAATATTTAATTTTGTTTTATTTCAGACCTTAATAAACACATGGCTCAAACTTACAAAACATTGATGAGTCAAACAAGTTCTGTAGCTTTACAAAAGGAATATGCTACAACTTCTGTAAAAATGAATAAATAAAATATGAAAAAATTTTTCCTGTTTTACAGCTTTTCAATGATGTTCATGTCGCGTAATTACGTCACTTCATAACGTTCCCATGGCAACAGGGGGAAACGGCTGCTCTCGTGTGGAGCAAACGCAACATTTTTCAACTTTCTGCTAAGATATATGTGACTTTCTTTTTTGCAACAAAAATGCGGGGATTATGAAATCATACAAGCCCCGCATATTTTGCGTGGAAATCGGCAATTTATACGGCAAAAGTGCGGCGTATTTGAAAAAATGCCCCCGCATAAATGACTTTGGCTGATTATGCATTGAATCATGCGATCGCATAATCGCGTTGTTCTGGAGGGACTGAAAGGTGATGTTCATAATAATAAATTCTAGATGGAGTAGCAATTGGCATTTTACAGCACCCTATGCCAATTTTGGGAACATGCCATGATAGCTTACAGCAACCTATTTTTGTGAAATCATACTCGAAATAAAAAAATATTGCAGGACTTGGGACTTTCAGACAACTGTGAACATCTATACTTTATTTTTATGAAATAAAGATATTTTATGATATTTACAATATTTCAGTTAAACTGCACTTGAACAATAACTTTTATCTTACTTCTTAACAGTTGGACAAAACAAAGTGTTCAATGTATACAGATTACATCTAGCCTACAGTAATTTTATACAACAGACATTTTATAAAAAAAATATATCAATAAAACCTAAATCAATGTATTCGGTATTGGACATCAATTTAACATTGACATTAGATGTTGAATTTACATTGAATTTTGGTCACCCGACGTCGCAACTAAAATTTAACCAAATATCAACGTCTTATGACGTTGTGTGCCTGCTGGGAATAATCTGTTATGTCTCATTTAACAGACGCTTTTATCCAAAGCAACAAGTAGGAGAGCATTTAACACACACTCGGCACAATCCTGCGCGACGAGGTCCATACGGGTTCTGTTGTCTTACACGTCTTACTGCGTTACAGCAGGTTAAATCATAACAAGGAAACTTTACGTGTGATTCATGTCATCGCGACATACTGTAACACATTATACTTACAGTGTGTGTCAAAAAAATGATGTAATCGTCCTCTGCTTTTTTTCTGGGGTGCATGCATGGAATACATTAGACGGCCAAACTGAATAGATTAGACGGCCAAACAAACTGCAACTAAACGAACACGAAAATTCGCAAGAGCAACAAGAGGTTTGAAGCTCATGGCAGACGCGCCCAATAGATGCTTCGCGCTGTGATTGGCTGAATGTTAGTTCACTCAAGTCTAAGTAACAAATCAGAGAACACGGGCGGAAATATTGGCGCTGGGTCAAAAAAAATGAAAAAGAAATAGAAAAAGCTCTAGCTCGCTATTCTTGGTCCTCGTTGAGAAGCATCGCGACGCGGAATCATGAATTATTCTACTACAAACTGAAAGATTATGATTTGAATTTTTGAATGACAGACAAGTAGAAGGGTGGGGGCACACTGGGGGGCCAATCAGCTTTCAGGAGGGGCCAGTGGCCCCATGGCCCCTCCCCTGTCTACGCCACTGTATCACAGACAACATTTTGGTGAAACCTCTCCAAGTTTCAGATCATTTCCTCATTACTTTCAATCTACAACTCACTACCCATGCTCCACCAACCTCCCCACCATTTACTTTCAGACGAAACCTGCGCTCACTTTCTCCATCCCATCTTTCCTCTGCTGTGTCATCTTCACTTCCCTCACCCTCACATTTCTCATCTCTGGATGTGAATACTGCAACGGATACTTTATGCTCCATCCTAACCTCTTCTTTAGACAATATCTGCCCTCTCTCCTCTAGGCCAGCACGCACCACTCCCTCCAACCCCTGGTTATCTGAGGTTCTTCGTGAACACCGGACCGAACTCAGGGCAGCGGAGAGGAAATGGCGCAAATCAAAAGACACATCTGACCTCAGTAGGTATCAATCTCTGCTCTCTGCCTTCTCTGTTGATGTTCACGCCGCAAAATCTTAATATTTCCACAACAAGATCAACAGCGCCTCTAACACACGTTCACTGTTCAAGACATTCAATTCTCTCCTCTGTCCACCTCCACCACCACCCACCTCCTCTTTAACTGCTGATGATTTTGCTAACTTCTTCACTAACAAAACTACCACTATCAGCAGTCAGTTCTCAGCACAGGAACCCAGACTAAGCTCTCCCACAGCCAATAACCTTCTCTCCTCCTTCACTCCACTAACCGAGGAAGAAGTATCTAAACTTCTCCTCTCCAGTCATCCTACCACCTGCCCTCTAGACCCCATCCCCTCACACCTTCTACAAGCCATCTCTCCCACACTTCTACCAGCTCTCACACACATTATCAACTCATCCCTCCACACTGGCATTTTCCCTACAGCATTTAAGCAGGCTCGGGTAACTCCTCTGCTTAAAAAAATCAACATTAAACACATCACTTCTAGAGAACTACAGACCTGTCTCTCTCCTACCATTCATTGCGAAAACACTTGAACGAGTTGCTTTTAACCAAGTATCATCCTTCCTGTCTCTGAACAACCAGCTGGATGTCAACCAATCTGGCTTCAAGAAAGGACATTCAACTGAGACTGCATTGCTGTCAGTCACGGAAGCCCTGCGGATCGCAAAAGCTGCTTCCAAATCATCAGTTCTCATTCTACTGGACCTGTCTGCTGCCTTCGACACTGTGAATCATCAGATCCTCTTGTTCGCCCTCTCATCACTGGGCATCACTGGGCATCACTGGAACCTCCCTCAACTGGTTTGAGTCCTATCTCACAGGTAGGTCCTTCAAGGTCACATGGAGAGGTGAGGTATCCAAAGCACATCAACTGACCACAGGCGTTCCTCAGGGTTCAGTTCTCGGACCGCTCCTCTTCTCCATTTACACCACATCACTGGGACCTATCATACAGGCACATGGTTTCTCTTACCATTGCTATGCTGATGACACCCAGCTCTACCTCTCATTTCAACCAGATGATCCCACAGTAGCTGTACGGATCTCAAGCTGTCTGGCGGACATCTCGGCATGGATGAAGGAACATCACCTGCAGCTCAACCTGGCAAAGACTGAGCTTCTCGTCCTCCCTGCCAATCCGTCTCTACAGCACGACCTCACTATCCAGCTAGATTCTTCCTCAATCACCCCATCAAGGTCGGTCAGAAATCTTGGAGTAATCTTTGATGATCAGCTGACCTTCACAGACCACATTACAAAGACAGCTCGATCATGCAGGTTTACTATGCACAACATCAGGAAGATCAGGCCTTTCCTAACTGAGCATGCAACACAACTTCTCGTCCAGGCCCTGGTCATTTCTAGGCTTGATTACTGCAATGCTCTTCTGGCTGGACTTCCATCATGTGCAACTAAACCTCTACAAATGATCCAGAATGCTGCAGCTCGTCTTGTCTTCAACGAGCCCAAAAGGGCCCACGTCACTCCTCTGTTCATCTCTCTGCACTGGCTACCACTCGATGCTCGCATCAAGTTCAAGGCTTTGACGCTTGCTTACAGATTGACCACAGGCTCAGCTCCCTCCTACTTCCACTCACTACTACAAGTCTACATCCCTACCAGAAGCCTACGATCGGTCAATGAGCGACGGCTCGTGGTACCATCACAGCGGGGCACAAAATCACTCTCCAGAACATTCTCATTCGCGGTTCCATGCTGGTGGAATGATCTGCCCACCCTCATCCGGAATGCAGAATCCCTGACAACATTCAAAAGACAACTGAAAACTCATCTCTTCCAGGAGCACTTAACATAAAAAATAAATAAAATAAAAAATCCTTTCCTCTAAATCCTCGCTTGCCTGGCTTATGCTACTCCGAGCTATGTCTGAACTTTGTATTTTGAGCACTTCTTGCGTTGCTTTTGCCTCTTCACGATGACTCGCTTGGTTTAGTCCTCAGTTGTAAGTCGCTTTGGATAAAAGCGTCTGCTAAATGACTAAATGTAAATGTAAATGTAAATACAATATTAAAAAATATTTACATTTCATCAGATTTAAATGCTTTTTTGACATTAAAACCCTACATGTTGCATCTATCATCGATGGAAATATCAAATTATTTGGAAGCATTGCTAGAGTGTGACTATTGTTTTGTGGTAATAGAAATGGTTTATTAACAGGGTTAAATTAGGATACACTTGAAATAGAAAATAGTTTTTAACAAACTGAAGTAAATATTTAAAAGAAATATTACTGAATTTAATAAATTACCATCCAGAAAAATTACAAATGCTGCTGTTTCTTTCATTTCATCATGTCAGTCAGAAAAGCAATCAATGAGTTTGGTTTGAATTGTTTATTATTATTCTTAAAGCTGCCCTAAAAGGATGATTATTCATATGATGACTAGAGATAAACAGCTCTGAAAAACAAAAACTCTAAAATAACATTGTTTTAGTTTCATTTCAACAATGCTGTAAATAATTAGAATGAGAGTCAACACCTAAATTAAATCATTTACAGCTTTTGGGGTTATAATGTACAATTAATGAAGTTTTCAGTACCATTCACTTTACTAATATACATTATGCTTTGTGATATTGTTAGATAAATAGAGACTCAGGGGTTTTTACAGGATAAAATAATGAACTGAACTAAATTAAAAACTCTTAAGTTGGAAAACCAACATGAGATTGACCCCTCACACACTAACAGAAAATTAAGTTTCTTTCAGTCAGTTGTGTGTGCCTGTTGTTCAATCTGACACAGAGACACTGAAGAACCATTATAAACCCCAAATCCAGCATAGAGGGGTTCAGTGAATGTGGTGTTGAATGTGTGTAAGAGTGTGAGTGTGTGTGTTTCAGAGATGATGTAGAAGGACAGAGTGCCGGCCGACACGTCCAGATACACTCCTACTCTTTTAGAGTATAAAGGTGCAGATATATCAGTGCTCTTATTGTTGTGACAGACAGTATATCTATTATTAATGCAGTACAGAGTCCAGGATTTATCATTGTATCCAAACCAACAGTTGCTACCACCTTTTCTGCAGATTCCTTTATGAGTCACTGCTATATCAACCCAGCCGCTCCATTCAGCCTCCCAGTAACAGCGTCCAGTCAGACTCTCTCCACACAGAACTTGTTCAAAGCCATCAAATCTCTCTGGATGATCAAGATATGACTGTTTTTCTTTCATATATGTAACTTTTTTGTTCTTCTCAGACAGAATGAGATGAGTATCTATGGTGTTTGGATCCAGTGTGAGATCACAGGCATCTGAACATAGAAAGAGACAAAATTTATAACAAAGCTTCAAGCAGCAATACTAGATTTTAAGGGGCACAAGTGTATGTAAAATCTTTGAAGGAACAACTTTCATGTCATTTAGACAAATATTCAAAAGTAAAATTGTATTTAATTTTTCGTTTGTTCAAAAGTAGATATTTTTGCATGGTTTTTTTTTTTTACATTTGGTATGGACTTATAAATGATTGCTCAGGTATACTCAGGCCAACGTTGTGATGACAGACTAAGTTTTGTTTTATTACATCAGAGTATTGAGTTTTGAAGATGTAGCATCACAATCTACTCGTAATGTTGTGTGCATTTGTGTGAGTTTGCAGATCAGTTTTTTGAGAATGGCGTGGTTAGTCAAAAAGCTTTGAACAACTTTGTCTCAGGTAATACATGCCCAAATTGTATTACAGTTTTTCTCGATTGCTTAAACACATTTCTTGAAACTACGCCTCGTATTCTCAAAACAGTAAACACAAATCCATAACGTCTCACCCAATTCCCCAAACATCCTATTTTCATGTCAAAATGAAGCTCTACACTCGAAACCATTCACTCTTGCTGAAAAACCAAACTTTGCCCTCAGACAGGACACACAAGCCCTCAAAAACACACACACTACAACATAGTCTTACACACTGGTGCTATAAATTCAAAACAACATTTCCAAAACTGGTAAGTCATGTTGCTTGTGGTCCATCCATCTTTTTTTTTTACTCGCTCCCACTCTTACGTAAGATGTGTGTGAGCATCATATGACAGTAAAAGAGCACACACAAACCTTATTCAAATATGGAATTGTATTGGAATGGTAAAGAGTGTGGGTACATGCCTCCACTCAAGGATACAATATGATGAACAAGTCTAAGAATGTTCCACATATGGTTGAAATACCATCATTGGCCTAGAAAGATAACATTCTGGGAGTCAAGACTATAAAGGAGAAAGGATGCCCTCCCTTCACTGTCACACTCTGCAGCCGCTCTGTGTGACTGTACGAATGCTGGCCTTTTCTTGCAAGAACATAAACCTCATCAAAGACAATTGGAAAGTTTGTCTCTTATTCAGTGATAGAAATCTGTTTGCCACCACACCTCCCTGAAGGCTCTGATGATGGAGGCGACGGTGAAGCGACTCAAATTTGTCTGTACTCGTTGCCCAGCCTCCCTCATAGTCATACCATGGACAAGGACATGGCCAACTAAAGTGGCTTGAATTTCATCTGAGACTGCTTGTCTTCTTGCCCTTGCCCTTCCTCCTCCTCCTCCTCTTCCTCCGCCTCTTCCTCATCCTCCTCCTATTCCTCATCCTCCTCCTATTCCTCTTCCTCCTCTTCCTCCTCCTCCTCTTCCTCCTCCTCCTCTCCCTCTCCCTCCTCGACATCTTGCTTAATTTCTCTGTGGATCCATTGTTCCAAAACTCAGTAAACTGATTTTTATCTTTTATAAAAGATTGTATAACCTTTTATCTATCTATTGAAGGATCTGACTGATGTGTGTTCAATTTTGACTCTTAGTGTTTTCACCTGGGTAATTGTGTGCTAACTGTGCTGAAGCTGTGCTGACTTGAGTGAACAATTTTGAATGCTAGTGCTTTCTAAATGACCACGTGGTGTAGGCAATGAGAAATGAAGGGATTTGTGTGTAGAGTTTTGCTGTGACAGTTCAACAAATCTGACTAATGTGTCAAAACAGGGGAATAGTGTTCATAGTTCAGTGAAATGGGTGTGCTTTTTGATAAATGGCATTATGGTTTTGAAATTTTAGTTCAAAAGCCTGGTTATAGTGTTTAAGCAATTGAGAAAAACTGTAATCAAACTGTCTAGGGGAAAAGGAGCATAAGAAATCAGACGTAACAATTTGTTTCAGTGATCTATCTTTGACAAAATGGATATGTGAGTGTATGTAGACCTACATTTGTGTAGACCTGCTGTAACTCTGGACTTCCCCCCATGATCCATGCTACAAACACATGAACACACACATTAATGTATATATGCACCATACACATTTAATCTCCATATATTTCAAATAAACACAGAACTGTATGACAGATTTAGAACCCACATACTTGAGTATCTGCAGTGAGCAGTTTGGATCCTTCAGTTTGCCAGAGAGCAGCTGTACACCTGAAACTCCTGGGTGATTGTAGCTCATATCCAGCTCTCTCAGGTGAGAGGGGTTTGAACTCAGAGATGAAGACACATAACCACAGCCTTCCTCTGTCACCATACAGCCTGACAACCTACAGATGGATAAAAAAAATAAGGACAGCTAAAAATACATTTTCATTATATTAGACTCGCTGAGTGATCTCTTAAAGTCTTACCTCAGTATCTCTAGCAGACAATTTGGACTCTTCAGTCCATCCGAGAGCAGCTTCACTCCTGAATCCTGCAGGTCATTGTTACTCAGATCCAGTTCTCTCAGGACAGAGTTTGAGGATTGAAGAGCTGATGATATCATTTCACAAGGCTGAGCAGTGATATTACAGACAGCAAGACTGAAAGAGAGAAAGAATAATTTTTTTAAATCTGTTTATTGAAAAGATATACCAAACCAACAATAGTCAATAATGGTTACTGGATTCTCATACAGTTTTCCTAAAGTTACGGTTAAGGGCAATTCTAATGGTATTTATATTTGAATTGGTAGCAAACTAAGCTCTTTACAAACCCTGTTTCTATGAAATTGCAGCACCATACACAAACCACAAAGATAATTCAGAAATATATGCATTCTGTACTCACAGAGCTTTCCTGCAGTTGCTCACAGCTGGTATCAGTCTTCTTCTACCCTCATCTGATGTGTTGTATTTCTTGAGGTCCAGCTCATCCAGCACCTCCTCTGACATCTGAAGCATGTAGGAGATTGTTGAGCAGTGAGCAGGAGAGAGTTTCTTCTCTGAGTGTTTGTCTGACTTTACAAATTCCTGAATCTCTCTGGAAAAAGTCTGATCTTTCACTTCCAGCAGACAGAGAAACAGATTGATGGATCTTTCAGTGGAGAGTCCATGTCCATCATTGATCTTTTCTTTAATGTACTGTGTGGTTCTCCTGATGCTCCCTGAGCTGTTCTCTGTGTGTGTCAGTAGATCCTGTAAGAGTCTCTGATTGGACTCCAGTGAGACACCCAGCAGGAACCGCAGGAACAGATCCAGATGTCCCTTCTCACTCTCAAGAGCTTTATCTATTGCATCCCTATGCAGATTATGTATCACATCACAAAACGTGTCAACATGTTTTATTGCATGATGGTAAAATACATAAAAAGCAGCGAGAAACTCCTGAACGCTCAGGTGAATAAAGCTGTAGACTGTCCTCTGATGAATCACAGATTCCTCCTTAAAGATCTCAGTGCAAATCCCAGAATACACTGAGGCGTCAGTGACGTCTATGCCGCTCTCTCTCAGGTCCTCCTCATAGAACATCACATTGCCCTTCATCAGCTGATGGAAAGCCACTTCAGCAAGTTTCACAATCACTTCTCTGTTGGACTGCAGGAGTTTCTCTGGATCTCTCTCTTCATACTTCTGATTCTTTGTGTTGATCTGAATCAGCAGGAAGTGGATGTACATTTCAGTCAGAGTTTGAGGGATTTCTGCACTCAGATCTTCTTCCAGGAGCTTCTGAAGCACAGTGGAGGAGATCCAGCAGAAGACGGGTATGTGGCACATGATGTGGAGGCTTCTTGCTCTTCTAATGTGTGAGATGATTCTGCTGGCTTGATGCTCGTCACTGATTCTCTTCCTGAAATATTCCTCCTTCTGAGGATCACTGAATCCCTGAATCTCTGTCAGACGGTGGATGTATTTGGAGGGGATCTGATTGGCTGCTGCTGGTCTGGAGGTGATCCAGATGAGAGAAGAGGGAAGCAGATCTCCTTTCATGAGCTTTGACATCAACACACCCACTGATGAAGTCTCAGTCACATCAGAAACTACCTGAGCGTCTGAAAACATCAGTGTGATTCTGCTTTCATCCAGACCATCAAAGATCAACACAACTTTACACTCCTCATAAATCTTTGAGTCCAGATCTTGAAGTTCAGGATGAAAGTCCAGCAGAAGTCTATGAAGACTGTACTGATGATCTCGGATCAAGTTCAGCTCTCGAAATGGAAGAACAAACATGAAATCTACATCCTGATTGGCTTTTCCCTCGGCCCAGTCCAGAATGAACTTCTGCACAGAGACGGTTTTCCCGATTCCAGCGATGCCTTTAGTAAGAACAGTCTTGATTTGCTCTTCCTCCTCACATCCTGGTTCAGGTGAGGCTTTAAAGATGTCATTGCAGTAGATTGGAGTGTCTTGTGAGTGTTGTGTTCTGGCTGTTTTCTCCATCTGTAAAACCTCATGTTCTTCATTCACTCCTTCTCTCTCTCCCTCTATGATGTAGAGCTGTGTGTAGATCCTGTTCAGGAGGGTTTGCTTCCCTTGTAGTTTGATTCCCTCAAATAATCTCTCATATTTGATCTTCATGCTAGTTTTGTGTTGATCCTTGACTCTCTGTAGTTCATCATCCAGTATTTGGTCTCCAGTCTCCACCAGCAGGGCTGCTTGTGTGTCATCCATCATGAGGTCAGTGGTCTCTGTTACATATCTGAAGTCTAAAGGACAATCCATGGACCTGAGAGTCTTCACAGACACACTGCTGGGTTCTGGAGACTCAGATTCCTGTCTGCTGCTGATGCTGACAAAAACAAAAAACAGCATTGTAAAAAGGTTTGTTGTTGTTGTGGGAAGAAGGAGACGGAAACCAGCGAACGTTCAAAAACTTTTGATAATTAAATAAACAAATACAAAATGAAAGTAAAGACGGCAGCACCTCACGGACGACTGCTGGTACACATAATAAAACAAAACACAACATAAGTCCAGGCCTGGTCCACTCTCTCTCTTCACTGTCGTCGTTCCTCCTTTTTTGCTTCTGCTCCTCTGTGAGAGATACGAGACCGGTGCGTTGCGCAGGTGTCAATCACAACTCATGGTGGTGGCCCCTGCACCACTGCTCAAGAAAGTTGGTGATCTGGCCCTGGTTGTGGATGGCTGCCTCACAGATTCAGTAACTGAGACACTCATTCATGCCTTTATCACCTCCCGTCTGGATTACTGCAATGGTGTCCTGTCTGGACTGCCCACTAAGGCCCTTAACAGACTGCAGTATGTACAGAACTCTGCTGCCAGGGTTCTAACCCACACAAAGCCCTGGCAGCATATCACTCCTATCATCCAACAGCTACACTGGTTGCCAGTCAAGTCACGCATCACCTACAAGATCCTCCTGCTCACTTACAAATCTCTACATGGACTCTTACCAAAATACCTCAGTGACCTCCTCCATCCCTATACTCAGTCACGTTCCCTGCGGTCCTCTGACAAGGACCTGCTGGTCACCCCCCGCACCAGGTTGCGGACTTTTGGGGACAGGGCTTTCTCTGCAATTGCTCCCATACTTTGGAACAATCTACCATTCCACGTCCGCTCTGCCCCATCCCTGCCCATGTTCAAAATGCACCTTAAAACATTTCTTTTCACAAAGTCTTTTGACCCCTAACTCCTCTCCCAGCCCCCCCCCCCCCTCCCCCCTCCACACACACACACACACACACATTTGTTAAGCGACCTTGGGTACCATGAAAGGCGCTATATAAGTACAAGTTATTATTATTATTATTATTATTATCAATCACGCCACTCGTCCTGCTCGCTACAATTATCATCATTATTCATGGATTGATTACTCTTCAGAGAGACACCGCTTGATCCAGGATATGGAGAACTCATTTTAGAGGCAGTGCCCTCTTCGTCTCTCTTGACATGGAGACTCATTTTAAAGTCACTGTCCTTCAACTCTTACTTACTCTTACAAATGAGTGTTGAGAAACTGATTACAGACCTTTAATTTGAAAATACAGAGTTTAACATGTTGTAACCAACAGTATTTTTGGAAACTGCAGAAACTCCTTTGATATCTCATTACCTTTATCATAATTTGATAAAGTAAAATATAGTTAATTCTAGTTTAAACAAAGATGGTTGTTTAAAGGGTGTATTTAGAAACCATACCCTCCCCACAAACACTTAAGCTGAAATGGTTCTGTTGGGGATCAGGGTTCTTTATTCCTGCCTTCTTGTGCTTTGGTCATCCTAAACACAATTGCTTTTACTTTAAAAAACGAAAGAGACTGTGAAGTTACATTTCTGCCCAGACAGACACTGTCACATGCCAAAAAAACACATCATCTGGAAAGAGGAAGAGACACTCAATAACAGCAAAACACACACATAATGATGGGCAATTAACACATCATAGAGGATTGTGCAGATATTTCACAGAACTTCTGTTTTGTGTTTATGTATTTATTCGGTTTTAATAATCAATTATTATTTATTAGCATATTCCGCTTGTTGGTAAAACCCCAATTAGAGGCTATAAGATTTACAAGTAGATGGCATTAATTTATATGAATGAAAATATATATTAATATCCAGGTCAGATATTAATTAGTTTAAATTGATTCATATTCATATGAATGTGGTGAGTATAACAGAATTTAAACTCTAATTTCTTATAGTTTCTTCAGATTTAAATTTTTGCTACATCAGTGTGTGAATGTAGGATCTGAAAATATTGAAAGTTGAAAATATATAACAAAAACTTTATGAAATCTGAACTAAATTTCCTAAAGTAATTTAGCTTTAGTTATTATTGTGATCAAAGCTGTTTAAAGATCGCTATTGTATGGACATAAGAGTTTAACCAAAAATCACATCAAAATATAATTATCCTGATTTAAAATATAATTTAAGGAAGAAAAACAAAACAAGAAAAAAATAGAAGCTCATTTTTATGACTACACGGTTAAATGAAGAAAAAGTTTTGGACTTACCAAAATATGCGGCCGTTTAAATCTCCAGTTCTAACAGGTTTAAAGCCTTGGCATTGATAATCTTTCATCCTCTTTTACTTTCACTTCCCTCCGTCTGAAAAGAATCATACTCCATCTAGTGGTGCAGAGCATCATCACATTCTCAAAGCAGTTATCTTTAAGATGGTTTAGGTGATTAAACACACACACCGTATGCATTAAAGTTGTATTGGATTACTATAAATATTATTTAATAATAGCTTTTTGCTGTCAGTTACCAGTACTGTGTGTTACTTCTGACCTACCTACAGTTAAAACTGTCTAAAATTACAACATGACAGTGAATGTGTCACGGCATGGTGCAGACAGAAGAAGACAAAAGGCAGACTGATCTCATGAAATGGCGTATGTATGACACGCCAATTCGTATTTCCATTTTTGGCGTGCTATCAACACGCATAATCGCTTTTCAGCGTGTTTATCAACGCCTTTGACTTAACGTTATATTAATGTATTATGTATATATAAATATATGACCTTCCCCAACCCCGTCCCTAAACCTACCCGTCACTGGGGTTAATACCATTTATGAGTCTTCTCCTACCATCCTAGGAAAAGAAATATCGCTCCACAGATGTAGATATAGATTTTGCTTCGTTTTGCTCGGACATTTTACGGCGTACACATACACGCGGAATCACTCGGACATTAAATGGCGTAGACATACACGCGGAATCACTCGGACATTTAATGGCGTAGACATACACGCGGAATCACTCGGACATTTAATGGCGTAGACATACACGCAAAAGATTTCGGCGTGGACATACACGCGGATAGGTCAAAATGCGTATAGATAACACGCCACTTGAATTGAAAGTGGCGTGTATGTTTACGCAAAGTCATGATGTCATGTTGCAAAAGGCAAGAGCTCCAATGCAAATACTTTTACTCAGGGCCGGCGATTGCTATAGGCGAACTAGGCGATCGCCTAGGGCGGCAAATGTGTTGGGGGCGCAGGCGCCCTCTAGTGTCTCCCTTTGCCTACTTCCCATTAATTATAGAATTAGAATGACAAGCGAAATAAAACATGTTTATTAAACATGATCATCATAAGGCGCCCCTCAGCCACACGTTTAGTTACTTGTCAACTTGATTATTAGATTGAATTGATGATTATTGTCGATCATTTCCTAATGGGGGAGGGGGGAGTTGCGTTGCGTTGCGTTACGTTACGTTAGGTTAGGCAAGGCAAGTGCTGGCGCGTTGATCGAAAATGAAGCGGTCAAAACCCTCTGGTGCACAGGGAAGAAAAGGAGAAAGGAACAAGATAAAAAGAAAGCCCAGTATAAAGTCTTCTCATCTCAGCCATTAAGGTGTCAAACAAAATAAATTTACTTAGTATTGTGCAAAGGCATGTACTGGCCATCGGGACTATACGGGGAGATTCCCGGTGGGCCGACGTGCTTTTTGGGCGGATACATCTCGAATACTTTTATATATATATTTTTTTGTCTGAACGGCCCACACAACTCGTACATCGGCGGCCCATTCGTTTTGTTTTGTTTAATTGGTGGCGCTGGGTTATAACTTGCTTTCAAGTACTATGTGTACAAAACTTATTAGGCTATGAAAGTTTCCTTTATTTTTATTATTGTATTTGTTTTACAATATATGGCTATTACTGTCATGGGATTAATATTATAACTATTATTATGCAGTAGTGTAATGTAGACAGACACTGTAACAAAATAATAATAATAAACCTTTATTTTTTAAAGCGCCTTTAAAAGCAGCTTCTCAAAGCGCTGTATAGGCCTAAACAATGGGCAATTGTTAAAAAAAAAAACTCAATCTCGCCTAGGGCAACCAAAGGGCTAGAGCCGGCCCTGCTTTTACTAACAAATAAACTTCAGGCAGGTACAAACAGGCAGTATAACTCACGCAACATACGACTAAACAAAGACGACGACCGACAAAGACAAGCTGAACTGAAGCAAACTAAATACAGAGACTAATGAACCATAATGATGTGAAGACAGGTGACACAGATGATGATAACGAGGGACAGGCTGGTAAGTGAGGGAGTGAATACAGGTGTGGAGATGAGGAGGATTCTGGGAAGTGTAGTAAAGAGACTAAGACAGACTGGTGCAGACGAAGACTGTGACAGAATGTGATTCACCATGTGCAAAGATTTATTGAAGAAAACCAGTAACCCAGTGTTACACAGTGCAGCTGTTACATTAAAGAGACATTTTCACCTGATCTGATCATTTCAAGTTATTTTCACTGCTGAAACCCAATGACGTTAGTGATTCAGTCACATAAAAAATGAGATCATCTCACATTAAGCACAGTAAAGAACAAAAAAGCAATACAATTAAAACCACTGCAAAATTGAGAAAACTGATTCATGACACTATTAAAAGTTACCATATAATGTCATGATAACCCAAACCAGAATAAGACTTTTTAAAGAAGTGGTACATTTACATTTATGCACTTGACAGACACTTTACAAATTACATTGCATCCAAAATATACATATAGTGGAATGGAACATTAAAAAAATAGGTAACACTTTACAAGAAGGTTCATTAGTGAACATTAGTTTTACCTGGTCAAAAACAGCTCTGTTTTCAGCACGCAGTTTCAGTGCATATGACTGTAAATGATAATGAGCTTTGCTGACTCCGCCTCTCTGTTCTGAGCGTACACCGTTTGTAACACAATAACCATAACGCGTTGTTCAGTATAAACGTGGGATTAGGAATTATATTGAGAACATCATACA